ATATGTGTATAAGAGAGAGATATATATATATATATATATATATATATATATATACAGTAGTGTACTTGAATTATATAAATTACCTTGTATTTTCATTAAAAGCCTCAATTAATTCTGTAGTAGCATGCTCTGGATACATAAATCTGACTGGCCATATGAGGGCGCCCTCCTCATCTAGGTATACAACAGGGTTGTTGCCCTCTGCTAGCATTGAAAACATTTTGTCATCTTCAGACAAATCACCGTCATCATTGTCATCATTACCATGTACTAAATTTACATTTCTTTCCTTTAAATAAATAAGACATGAGATAATTAAAATAATTTTGCTTTTCTGGTTGTTAATAATAATAATATATGTTAGACTTACATAGGGCTATATGCCAACAAGGCCTCTAAGCGCCTCACATTATTACACTGGCGGTCATTGGATCAAACACATATGGGAGAGAGACAGTAGCAGCGCCCTCAGGAGAATTCGTGGATTGGGTTGGATTGGATTGGATTTATTCGGTGTAAACACCAAGGATAGCCCACGAAAGTCTAGAAGACTTACTTACAGTGGGGTCCTTCTGGTGGTGATTGGGCAGTACACCGGGAGACAATCCCCTACTCTTTTAAGAAGAGTGTACTGCGTTTTTTAACGTGCACATGGGCCATAATGCACACGGGACCAATGGCTTAAACTTCTCATCCGAAAGACGGTGCGCTATTGTAACTTGTATTTTAGCCCTCCAGCTAAAACGCGGAGGGGCAGCGATGGGAATTGAACCGGGGACCTAGAGATATCCACGGTTCAGCGCACACACAGTGGCTACCACCAGATTAGCCGACTGAGCTAAGCTGCTCTCTCTAATAATGTTGAAAATGGTAATCACCTTATCTGTAAAACTGTTTTGATCATTCATAAAGCAAACACAATGGATGTTAACTTACTGCGAGTTTTCAGTAAGTTGACATCCATTGTGTTTGGTTAACAATCAAAACAGTTCTGCAATAATATTAAGGAAACCAGATGAAACTTATTCGAATATTTCCACCTTATTTGTCTTTGAACCCAAAAGTTCCTCACTTATACTTGACTTATGCTTGATAAGGACAAAAGCATAATGTAAGATAAATCCTTGCCGAGCCACGAGGGCTCATAGGGCTGGAGCTTATCCCCAGTTTTGGTAGCGTTAAGCGGATGAGAGTGTAATATTTCCCCTGGGTGGGACGCTGGTCCACCGCAGGTTACTCCCAGCAATTTGCTAGTAACCCTTGATACAGTTGGGTAGACTGAAGCATGTAGATAAAGTGCATTGTTCAAGGGCACAAGTGAAATGCACAGCGAAGGATTGAAACCCCAACCTCGAGGTTGGGAAACCAATTCGCACTGCGCCAAACTGCTTCCAACAAAAGCATAATGTGTGAGCTGGTGATTTGGAATGTTACCTTATAGATCCAATGAGTATGTATTTACAATTTATTATTGATTCATTTACAAATAAAAACAACAAGCATGTCTTTGACATATTACAAATCATAAGAAAATACGGTACTTCTAACATAAACTTAATAATATAAATTCATCTGGTTTCTAATTGTGTACACTTTGTAATTGTTGTTCGAAGAACTTACGATATTGAATCAAAACTGCAAATAAAAGTTTACGTACAAAGAAACTTACATACTTTAGTACTAATAATTTTTTACATGCATCATGTACATCAAGTTGAAATAAATTTGAAAATAAACCTTCAAGGCTTGTAGAAGTTTCTGTTTCTGTGCCCTCTCTTTCTTCTCTTGTAATATTCTCTTTCTTTTCTCCTTTTCAAATATTTTCTACAAAACAAAAGTCATTCACAATAAAGGTCACAAAATGAAAGGAAAAATAAAAACAAAACTAACGAAATTGTTATCTTAAAATTTGCTTTCTTTAAATTCACTATACATTTAAATGTGTCTGTGTGCGCTACCTCTACTGTGTTGGAAACTGATAGGAGCTTACAGGAGTGCACTTGCCTCTAAAATGGCTATTGCAATGCACAACCACATTCTAACACAAACACTATCAGCACACAATAGACAAAACCGGCCTGACCAGATGTGACACTGCTCCAGGCAATCTGCACTTCACGCTCCAGTTGAGAGCAGCAGAAGGAACTGAACCAGAGATATGAAAGAGTCTACACGGTTCAACGCACACGCAGTTGCTACCACCAGTTCAACCAACTGAGCTGCATTGCTGTCGGTGTAGTCACTACTCATTTTATTCAATGACCAATTTTATCATTTGCATATTCACCTGTGCCTTTTCTGCTTTGGATCTATACTCCTGGAGCATTACATCTGTTGGTTTCTCCTGGTGAAAATAAAAACCAAATAACATATAAGAATGGATATATATATATATATATATATATATCTGTCTCTTATACACATCTGTTGTTGCCCTCTGCTAGCATTGAAAACATTTTGTCATCTTCAGACAAATCACCGTCATCATTGTCATCATTACCATGTACTAAATTTACATTTCTTTCCTTTAAATAAATAAGACATGAGATAATTAAAATAATTTTGCTTTTCTGGTTGTTAATAATAATAATATATGTTAGACTTACATAGGGCTATATGCCAACAAGGCCTCTAAGCGCCTCACATTATTACACTGGCGGTCAGATTAAAACATTAATTAACAATTAATTCAGAGTTTTAAGTTTTTTTTATTGTATTATTATATGTATATGTTATTCTGATGAAGTAGGCATCAACTGCATGTAACTGCATGCATCCTGAAAGTTAACTTCAGGATGCTATCTGTTCTTTCTCTCTTTAGATTCATTTACACTAGACACGAAACGATAAAAATGCACACAGTGATGAAGAATATAAACGATGTGATGATATGTTGCTGTCGTGTCGTTATCGTGTCTAGTGTAAATGTAGCTATAGGCTGTGTTTCCTCAGCATTTATAATTTCTCTGATAAATTATCTTGAAATTCCCTCCAAATACTTTATCCCTTCATGAAAAGTTATGGACCACAATGCAATGTGTTCAAAATCAAAAAATTCATTTTATTGACCAAGCACTACAGAGACCGCCCCTTTTTGGGTGAGATTGAGAAAGAAATCGTAGTAGCGTCACAATGGTGCTTCATTGTGCTTACATGTAGCTATGGAGAGATTGAGAAGATGAATGCTAGCTTTGTTTGGTGTATTTAAGGTACAATAAACAGTATGGACAGACCTAGGAATAGTTAGCCACCATCAATGCCAAGCACAGTCGTTTAAGATTTTTTTGAATATTTAATAAGCCTGAAAATTTACTCACTATTTATTAACTGTTTCATACTGGCCTACTAACTACTAGATGCCTTAGAAACATTTCCACAAAGAAGTTCCCACAAGTACAAAAATAATTCTTCTGCACCATGATTTGACCTTGGCCAAAGGTTATTTATTTTTGCATTCGGAGCTTTTTCCGATAAATTATCTGATTCTTATCCAGTAATTTATTGGAAACTTTGGGCCCCATCTTCCGCAGCAAAAAATAACTAAATGACTGCTTTCCAATAATTTAATGGGTAAAATGTGCTGTGGAAACACACCCACATATTTTAAATTTGTCCAATATCTAACGTTTCTTTTTCAAATATCTGTTTTATTAAAAATTTTTGTGCTATTCTATATACTTTTTTAAAATCCAAATGATGTATTTCACTTTGTAAATAACATAGAGGTAAAGCTGTGCATGCACACAGTACACCAACAATCAACAGGGAACACATTAAGCACACTGTTTCTTTAATAGGGTAGCAATAGCTTTCCTTATATTTTATGGCCAAAAACATGTCCCCTTAATCGGTGTGTTCCAAAGGAGGGGTTCTGCTGCAATATATATGAATGAGGATAATTGATTGAGGAACAGGGTCGAACCTTTAAGCCTTGATCACACCACTGTATAGCAGACGAGTACAACTCCAATTTCAAAGAGCACTCAATACAGCGCAGCAAAGCTTTTACATGGTCTGGTCTTATTTTGAGGGCCTCCATGGCATCCTTCAGGGAAGAACGATAATTACCTGTGAAAGTAAAGCAATAATTCATAGTATTAGGCAGGTAGGGGAATGCTATTGTAATATAATGTAATATGTCTGACCTAGCTTTTTGTTCGGTAAAAGCAGTTTCAATACAGTAAAAATACATTTTAAATTTGATGTTGTAAAAATAGTAAGCCTAAAATTTGCACCACACCCAGGAAGCTGATTGAGAGGCGGCACAATGTATGATATTTCCAGTGACAAGTGTATTATAAAGCATTGTGAGACATTAAATGGGAAGTGGTTTTAATAAAGGCAAATATTGGAATACATTCTAACACTGTCCAGATTATCAAATTTTCTTTAACAAAAAACTGTTGTATGCCCATATATAGTCATGATGTGCCTATATATGACCATGATGTGATGTCATCATGACCATATTTAGGCATATCACATATTTTTATAAAATAAAATTTGATATTCTGGACAGGGGTTAAGGGTTAATTTGGTAGCAAGTCAGCTGAGATGGTCCATAAGCTATAATTCGTTTGGTGCTTCATTTGTGTATTATATGAGATATTTTGTTCATTTGTGTTTTATGTGTATATTTTAAATTAAGAAATTGAAATTAGTATTAATGTATTTTTATTTTTTATTAACTGGTTATAGGCCAAAGGTCAAGGATTGCAAGGCAGTGAACTTAGTCACTATTCGAAGTTTCATATACTGTACCTTCACAAGACAAACATAAACACAAGATGCTCTACTTAAACTAAGTCTTATTAAGAGGCTTAGGAAGTGGAGTTGTTTTGGTCGTGAAAAACAAGTTCTCGTAATCTCAAAAGCTCTGATGAGGGCAGTATAATAGAGGCAGTAGAGTATATTAAAACATGCTTAAATCATGTAAATACTGTACACATTGGCGTAAGTTATTAAAACTATATTGGGTTTTCGGCATGGGTTCATAATTGCCATTAATTACTACCACTTACAGGACACATTGTATAAATGGCACGGTCGGTTAACACTGTGTTGTAAGGAACTGAAGATCGTGAGTTCAAATCGAGCCTCGGTGTTTAATTCCAAGAAGCATTTCAAACTCTTGACCTTCGGTTCAATAGAACACATCGTTGACTGACTGCGCCATCTATACGACATGCCCTATTAGTGGTAATGGCAGTATGTTCTGTCCCTGGTATTGGTGGCGCACTTCAGCCGTGAAAATAGCACAGTCGATCAGCAAAAAAGCACACAGCCAGCAGGGTACTCCTAGAGCTTCTCACCGGAGCTAAAAATCCTTTTACTAGGACAGTGGGATTGGAAGGCAAGCATCTTAACCACCAAGCTATTCAATTTCACTTCAATGTATGATTTATTTAAACAACAATCATTGGGGAACTTTCTTACCCAAGTGATATTCTGCAGCAGCTTTGTTTGTGTACAGGATTGCATTCAGTTTACCATCCTTGGCACCTTGCTTTAGACCTTCTTTGTATGCCTTGGCAGCCATCTTGTATTTCTTCTTTTTAAAGCAATCATTACCATCATCCTTGTAGCTAAGGGCAATTTCTGAAAACAATTTGAAGAAAGATGACAGAACCAGAATTGATAATCCAAATTATTTTATTCATTCTAAATACAGTAGAACCCATATTAATGGGACAACTCAGGACCACCAGAAATGTTCCCTTTAATAGGGGTTTGGGTGTTCCCTGAATAGGGATTGGCTGTAGTGTTAAAAAATATACTTCCCCTCATTTCCTAGTGTCCCATTAAAAGAGATGTCCCTACTAATATAGGTGTCCCATTAATAGGGGTGTCCCAAAAGGAGGGGTTCTGCTGTACTTTTATCATCAGTAATATATTTCAATCTGCATTCGCAACAACAACTTAAATTTATATCAAAAATATCTACCATTAAATGATAATCATTGAAGCTCAAATATTACTAATATTATTAAATTGGTTTGTTTGCTTACAAGAATTTTTTTTTTTCATGTTGATAAACAGTTAAATAAAACAACTTTCTTTCTTAAGCTTTATAAGACAAACCCTGCTCACACTGGACTTTATTTCGTCAAACTAGCTATGACCAGCTGGTCAATTTATCCCAAAATATCTAATGGTGTGGTAATATCAAAAACAGAGTATTACGCCTTGGAGAATAACAATAGACGAAAGCTGAAAGTACAATATCAAATTTGAATATAAAATTAGTGATCTAATGAAACTACAAATATGAATTTTATCAATATCATCATCATGGAGATTAATTGGTAATGGTAAGTTGAAGAGCACGTAAAAATTTGTCAATGCGATCTGGCATATATGTATACGAGTGAGTAAACCTTTCAAAATAAATAACAATTAAAAATCTTTGGGATTGTTATTTTACCTTCTGGTGTTCCCTCATCATACTTCAATGCCTGTAAGGCTTCTATTGCTGTTGATGTCACTCCATCTTCAAAGCCTTTGGTCATAAATGCTGGAATCTTCTCGATTTCCTTGTAAATTAAATTCAAGTTTACATCAACAATAGAAGTTGCAAAAAAATATAAAATTGTAGAATGTGCAGAACAGTTTCCAAGATGCGTTTAGTTCTGATGTCAGCTGTAAAAAGGTCAAAAGTTAGTGTATGGAATAAACCAGGTAACAACGGCACACAACCTGCAAATCCTCGCCATTACCCTGATCAAGGTTAGCCAAGGAGCAACTGAAGCATAGCAAGGTATAAGTAATTATACTGTATTATTATTGTGGCGTACAAAAAAGAAATTAACAAAAATTTAATAGTGAAGCCAGATGATTCCCGACAATATTTTCGAAAAACTCTTTCCATATTTTAAATTTCTCAAACCTTCTCTTCTATATTATTACAAAATCAGCCTAATTGCGTCACAAATGAAAGCCCTGACAGAAATCGCGTCACAAATGAAGGCCCAGATAGAAAAAGAAATGACTTCCAAATTCGCTCAAAATCATAGTACAAACAAGCCCTCTCCCTCAGGGAGTGGGCTAAAAATTGTAAAATAAAGGTGAACCTTGTACATAGTAGCAAATATGGACATACACCAGGGCTAGAAATTTACTTTTTCAGCCACTAGCAACCTATTGCTAAAATGTGCTAGTTGTTAAAAATGTAACTAGCAAAATGAGCTTCTCAACTAGTAAAATATATTAATACCAACTCAACATATTATTTTCGGAAAATAAATTGTATGAAAATAACTAATGATGTACTTCTATAAATATGTGTGTTAAATGTTTTAATATAATATTTTCTGTTATGGTGAGTGTAGTACCTGTCTCTTATACACATCTAGATGTGTATAAGAGACAGTATATAGGGAGTACATACATTTAAAATAATACACAGCTAGTCATTTTTATTATAAATGAAAATGAGTTATAAGCCTAGTAATACTATAGGCCTTAAACTAGGGCTAGAATAATAGCTGCTCATCAGTTAAAATATAAAACTCGAATTCAGATTAAGAATTTTTTAGAGCATTTCATAAAAAAAAATTATTTAAAATGCTTGATTCTTTTCATCACCTAACTACTGTACTAGCCTTGGACTAGTACAACCACTAAGTATTTTACTATGAATCTGCTGATATAAAAGCCTAGGCCTACCGGACCATATTCATCGTTGACAAAAGTTTCATTCTCCCCCTTGCTTGGCCTATCGGAGCTGAGACTGACCAACTCTTCTTTTGTCCTTTCTTTATTATTAACCAGTCTGAGTGTCTGAGTGAATGAAACGCCTACCTCTTCCCAATTTTCTTCAGTCAATCCATCGGTGTATAATTTCTTTGGTAAACTATCAACAAAGTCATCAATTTTAGCATCTAGATCTTGGGCAAGTTTAGCAGCTTTTGTTTGATTTGCAGTAGCCATACTCCCAGCCTCATGCGACTTCTTGTTTGCTCGCAATGTGTGTAAGTAGGTCAGTTTCAGGTCATCGTCGTGTCAGAATGACGTAGGGAAAGTCCCTACTGTTAAAGTTGAACAGCGCCAGCACATTTCCACATGTCTTTTATAAAATCAAACCATAAAAACAAAGCGAAGAGTGTGAGTACCTTGTAGTAGTCTAGCTTGTTAAACTACAGAATTTAAGTGTCTAAAGTCCGGTTCAGATATCTGTTGGCTGTGGAATGGTATTATACAATATTTATATCAGATTAATTTATTTCTAAAAATCTTATGCTTATACTGTTTATTGCTGTGATAATTTGAACACAAACAGTCCACATGTTGAGCAGCGGGTTCTGAGTGAGCAGCAGCACCTCACTGGTTTAGCCAAAAAGAAGCCCTCTCTAGTCTAAAGCTAAAACAGACGAAGACTTAGGGCCTACTGTAGGCCTAGATAGGAGTAAAAACAGGTATATAAAATAGGCTATATTTGTTTAGTTAATAAGTAGTCAGAGAACAACAATTTATGCTTCCTTTTTTCCTCTCAAATTTGGGAACAAGGGTTCAAAATGGAATAAATCCTGTCTTCCCAGACAGATATCTCAAAAAAGGTATTAGCATCATACTGTATTTGACCAAGGAGGTATTTTTGATTTGACACTGTTGTCTCTTATTCATGTTTAAGATATCAGCAGATAAAGCAAACAGAAAACACTATGGATATTGGCTCGGCATGCCCAATCACTACATAATTTATGTAAGGCTGTCGCAAAAATATCTACACTGCCAGCTAACAAAAAGTTTATCACATAAATCACATATTTTCTTTTATATCTTCTGGTGTTATTTATATTCCATGGCTACTACCAGCTTGTTGAGGTGCTGGGTATCAATTTACATTGTAACCAATGGCAAAATTGCGTACCGACAAAAAAAAAACATACAAAGATACTAGATTCTACATTAAAATGGCATTAAAAGAGATATTAACGAATAAAAACATAAAAATTGTAAATTTTTAATTCAGGAAGTACAGTTTGCAGTAATGAATTATTAATGATTTAGGCAGTTTTTCTGGCATCAAGTTTATCAATGCTTGAAGTGCTTAACTACTACTTAATATAGGAGACTGAAGAAGCTGTGTCTGAACCAAGGCGTCTTGTTTGTGAGTTCTATAAACTGCAAGAACAACGGGTGGCAACGTACAAAACACTAGATAAGTATGTCACATGCATGTTTAAAACTAACAGATGATTTTTGTAATTTAATTCAATTAATAATGAATGTAATACACAGACCAAGAAATAATATATAGGATTTGAAAGTTAATTACCTGCTCAAATATAAAAAGCAATTAAATATTTGTTTCATGTATATATTTGATTTTTGGTCCTTGAAGGTTGTATTGACATTATTTGCTTTGTCTGTCATATATTTATAGTTTGAATTAAATTTCAGTTTAAAATACTACTCATTAAAAAAGAATCTATGTGGATACTTCTTTTTCCAGTGCTCATATAGCATACCTCCAGACTGCACCGGATTATGATTTTCTGAACTATCGGCAGAAAGTGCATGATGTAACAGAAGCTTTCAACCACATTTCACAGTCTGTCATATCAATAGAACAAAAGCTACGCAATGAGCATGGGAAGACTGCTGTGGCAGACTGCATTGCTCAAGTCCAGGAAATGGAAAAGAAACATCTTGAAATGGTAAGAGAGTCATGAGGAACTCTATCAGATGCACAACATGTCAGAATTGGGTTCATGCGAAATGTACTGAAGTGATAGAAGGCTCACAATGAGAATGAAAGGCAAGATCTATAAGGCTTGTGTTAGAACAGCATAATAACATAATGGTGAATCAGAAACGAGGAATGTGAAGAAGGTATCTTGAGGAGAACTGAAAGAGCCATGATTTGGATGTGTGGTGTGAAAATGTCTGGCAGAAAGAATACAAGGGAGCTCATGGATAGGTTGGGTCTGGAAGGAACTACCATATTGTAAAAGTGGTAAAGAGTGGATTGAGATGGATGGGTCATGTGCTGAGAATGGAAGATGATGAACCTGTGAAAAGAGCATGGGATCTGGAAGTGGATGGTATAAGAGGAAAAGGAAAACCAAAGCTTACATGGAAAGATGTGGTAAAGAAAGAAATCTGTAAAGTTGGTCTAAATGAGGAGGATGCTCAAGATAGGCAAAGTGGAACATGGGAGTGTCGTCATTAAGTGAAAATCAGTAACCCTTCGTAAGAGTGAAAATGCTGATGTAAATAAATGATGATGTACCCAACTTTGATTGCTACATTTGGTTTATGCAGGGGTTCCAAATCTCCCGCAAGGCGCAGGAGTCTCCCAGAAATTCGGGACAGCCTCCCGCATTCCCGCGAACCAGCAATAATCTCCCAGAAAATATCCCATCTCCTGCAAATTAATGATATTTACATGTTTTTAAAACCTGTAGCTATGCCCTCGAATGTTAATTATTAGTGGAAAACATATAATAGTGTATATATAGTTTAAACTTATTCAATAAATAGACCACAAACAAGTGTCCTAATTTCTGGGAGATCTGCCTTAATTGCCTCCCAGATCAGTGGTGGCTCTAGGATATCTGTCTCTTATACACATCTAGATGTGTATAAGAGACAGGGGCTAAGCTGTCCGACAGGGGGACTTGAGCTCTTAGGCCCTGAGAGGGGTCCCGTCCCAAATGAGATTTTTTAAAGAATAGGAACCTCTGGATGGTCGGAAATGGCACTCTCAGACTGTGACAGACGTGTTGGCTTGGTTTGTTTTTATTTTTATACTTTTTATGGTCTGACTGCCCGACGAGCTCCGTCAACGAGGTGGGGGCTTGACCTGTCCGGTGGGAGGCTTAAGCCCCCTTGCCCTAGCCGGCGCCAGTACTGTCTCAGATATCAGTGGAAATAGGTATCACCACCTGCAGCAAAATATAATTAGATGTAAAAAAAAGCTGAAGTTGGAGCCATTATTTCCTGAAATATTGCCTGAAGCCTGCAAGGCTGAATGCAATTTGTAATGAAAATTATAGCTGGATGAGCTGTTGGCGCATCGGTTGTGGCTTGGACTCCCAACCTCGAGGTCGGGGGTTTGAAACTCTCGCAGTGCAAATCGCTTGTGTCCTTGGGCAAGGCACTTTATCTGCGGTTGCCTCTCCACCCAGGAGTACAAGTGGGTACCTGGTAGGTTCCAACACAACTGCGCTGATTACTAGCCGCAATATTATGGAATAATAATATAATTTAATTTAATAATTTAATTTGGTGTTCAATGTGTTCCTATGTGTTTGATCCAATGACCGGGGGTAGTAACGTGAAGCGCTTAGAGGCTTTGTTAAGGCATTAAGCGCTATATAAGAACGACATATTATTATTATTATAGCTCCTAAAAGGCTGCTGTTGTGACATCCATCACCTTTTATATGGCCCTTTAATCAAACTGCCGGTTTATAGAGCAGTTGCTATGTTAAACTGCTGGTTACAGTCGCCAGTTGCTTAGTGGTGTGTGTGTTTGTGCATTAGCTGTGCGTATTAGAATGATTTGTTAGTGGTACGGGCATTGACATTCTCCACAACTCTTCGCAGCTCTTTGCGATTTCTAGATTAATAAATTGATTGTTATTTTCAGCTTTGCCAATATTTTTCTGTTCTTTTATAAGTCAGTCACCTTGGTATCTCATAACCATTTTGTCATTCTAGGCCTTGCCAGGAATGTAACCAGAATCCAGAATTTTTCAAACAGGGGGCACAACATATTCAAAATAGATAATGAGTAGCTCTAATTTCAATGTATGCATTGAAATTTCAAAATTTAGTGGCAAAACGGGGGTGGGGGCACATGGCGCCCCCCCCCCTTACTGGATCTGCCCCTGGTAACCAGCACCATAGAGAGATCTGTTAGGTTCGCTGTGTGCATTCAGCTTGGCATAGCAACGAAATATTCAATCGCGATGTACTGTAGTAAAATCACCCCAGCTTTGAGCTTTTTGCACACAAGACACACTATATCGATAAACTGATCAGTCGTGGATAGGAAAATTCAGTGCAAATGAAAGTTATGACGTCACCACTGACTTATAAACACTTTAGCATTCAAGGGCATGTTATAGCTACACATTCTTTCATCATATTATTGAAAATTATGAAAAGTTGACTGTATTCCTCAGCCCACCTATACTGCACTTGCCCGTGTTACAATTTTATTGTATTGGTTTCAGATTGCTGAATTGCAATTAGCTAAACAGAATACCCAAGATCTTCCAGGCGATGAAGATGTCAGAGAATTGATGGTGTTCATTAAGCAGAGGTGAGTTTTCCTATGGCTTATTATAATACGGCTATCCATGATCGTACTACATTACGACACCATTGTACTAGAAAATTCTCCCCCTCCCCATCCCAAACCTCCACAAAATAGTGTATATGCTTAGCATGATAGTGTATATTTTTCTATGTGAATATCTAGGTGCCACGGGCAGGTGTTAATACTCAATTTAGAATGTCATTGGAAAACTTCTGAGCAGGGCAGCTCAAGAATATATTTTCTGGGGAGGGGGGGCACTTGAGATTGTAGGCTTGAGCTGGGGGAAGGGTTCAAGAGGGGGGTTCCCCCTCCAAAATGAGATTTTTTTAAGAATAGGAACCTCTGGATGCCCAGAAATGACACTCTCAGACTGTGGCAGCCATGTGTTGGCTTAGTGTAGGCCTATTTTTATATCTTTTTTACTCTGACTGCCCAACAAGCTCTGTCCTACAGACAATAAATCAATGATCATATAAAATTTGTTTTACAGGCTGAACAATCTTTTACAAGAACTTGCTGAGCATCTAGAAAATTTAAAATACGAGACCGAAGGTTTATGAGATCAGGAGACGAAAATGTTATACCAACATCGATGTGGCTCAAATATGAAAACACAGGATTTAGTTCTAGTATCTAAAATTTTTCAGGTCAAATCTTGACTATAAGAATTGACCTCAATGGACCTTTTGGTAGTGCCAAATGGAACAGGACCAGGAACACATGCATGTCCTACAAACACACGTTTGCATATTACACTGTCATTTTGATACAAAAATGTTGTCACAAGAGGGCTCACTACAAACTATGTTGGCATATCAAGCATAAAATAACAGGAATTTGACTGTTCACTATCATTTCTTTATTCTCTCGTACAAAATACCAATCACTTTGGACTCCCACCATACAGCATATACAAGCCAGGTGTAGATTAACAAATATTAGTCAAACATCATTAGTACCCGCAGACACTCATGCAAAATTTAAATTAATGGGACCGGCAGTGGAAAAATGATAATTTCAGCTTTTTTTTTTATTATTAAAATGCGGATTAGCTTTGTACTAATGATGCCTGACAGTAACAAATGGTTCAACAAATGTAATCTCTCAAGTCTTGTGAAGTAGGCATTTATGTGACTATTACTAGGTATTTAAAAACATAATTGAACAATATTTAATACCAAACGAAATCAATCAAAAATAATAGTAACAATGTAATTTTATTTCAGATTTACAATAATATTTGTGAATTATAATTTATTTTTTAAAAACTAGATCATACCTAGAGTACCATAAACTTTTCAGCTTTGTACCCTCCCCTAGGTTTGTAGTCTTCAAAATTATGTCCAAGATATTAAGGTGTTTTTTTTTTTTTGAATCTGCGCATCTCACGTTTTTGTAATGAATTGTTATCAAGCAACTTGCAGTAACAAACATAACATTCAAAAGGATGAAATCAGCAATTGTAATACATTTTTTTTTCAGTTACAATGCTGCATTTAAATACTGATATTCCAGGTCTATGTATTAAAAACACAGTAATGGTCACATATGAACAGCCAATTAATGTTTTGCTGCCTGTACAAACACATAAGCAAAACTGTTTTACAAACTCCTGGTTTTCTGGAATAATTTATAATGGAAAAACGTTACTTTACTGTACATGTGGTAAAAATAACGCAAGTTTTCATATTTGATTTGATCATGACGTGATTTGTGCATTGTTTTTCTTGTTTGCAAATCAAAGTTTTTTCACACTCAACTAATTTCTATAAACTGAAAACATGCTGGAAGAATTAGCTATTCTTATCTGTACACAGTTGGTACAACAACATATTGCATTAATCAACAACAGAGACCTCTCATAAAAAAAATTGGAAAACATAACTTTTTTGTGAATGATAATGCCATTTTTTAAATACAATGTTTTTGTTGAGACGGTATCAAATATCCACAATTTTTTCGGCCAAATATCAAAGCAAACAAAATGGACTGAAATCTTTATCAAGATCTTAATTTAACACATTGAATATACGGGTACACCTATAGATTCGGTAGCCATATGAGTACTTGCAGCACACGCTGATGAACTGCTTGTTTTTCTGCTACACCGTCCTTCGGGGTTGCACACATTCAATGAAAGTACCTCCAAAATTTCTGTTCATTTCATGAGTACATAAGAATGTTTATAATATATATGCCTTCAATTAAATAGCGTTTTGGTTGGTGGCTTTTTTTTTTAATCAGTGGTTTCATACCCTACTTGGGGGTCCGAAGCTGCTCCCATAATGCTTTGGCTTAGTGCAGTTTCTACGGCCATGAAAATGTGTACAAGTTGGCGAGAGAGAGCTTCAGAAGTTTATGGCGGGAATGAGCGGCACTTCATCATTACATCAACCTAGGCCTCTTCCTTAGATGGTGCGTCAAAATTTTCAACCAAATCTGAAACAATAAAACCGTTAAAACAATTTAAGCACTGCTTGCTATATTTCAATAGACCATGCAACGCCATTTAACAGTCATGGTGAATATAAGACGGTTGTAGCTGCCCTGCGGTGGATATAGCAGGCTCGAGTGTGTGAAGCAGGCCTAGCTTAGTGTATCAGGTGCATGCACTGAGCATGGAATTTATGATCACTTCCTGTAGACAACATCATCTTACCTGGAACATCTTCATCATCTTCATCTATCTCATCGGATCTTGTGGCCAAGGGCGCAGATTCCTGGCCTCCGGGCAGATTATCAGCCAAGCTCTTCAGAGTGGCAGTGCTATCAACACCCTGAATTAACATTAAAATACTTTTAATCAATTCAATATAAATCATAATCTTGAAACTGATTAATTAAATGATAAAAATTGCTTCTACTAGTGTTTTATTTTTTATACACTGCAGACCTACAAATAAAAAAAGGTCCCTCCATACATACAACCCACTGGTGAGGGGATGATTATTAGTATAGAAATCAACTGAACAACAGAAAATCTTACCAATTGAGTTAAGATGCCTGGCAACATATCTGTTAATTTTTTTATTTCTCCATGGCCGGTGATGGCAAATGTGTTAGCAGCTAAGGACGCTTGAACTTTTGGGTTGTTGAAGTGAATCACTGTCCCGTCATCCCTGATCATATTTACCTGCAACAACATCATAAAATATTAATAACATTGAAAATAATGTACATTATAAGTCAATCGTGACGTCGTCAATGTAACACCCAATGTTATTTTCCTATTCCCAACTGTGCATTAGTTTTTCAATCATTATTGCAACAACAATATACATATCATTATTGCAACAACAATATACAATAACAATATACAATATCAATAAAGCTGGAAATAATGTACAGTATGTTGGCTTTTATGAACTTGGAGCAGAAATCCTGTTGTCATATTGTTGGCATATAATAATAAAGTTCTTAACCATACTGAGGTCAGCAAAACAAGTAGTTGTCATTGACTATCTGAACAGCTGACAAGCTTGAACTGAACAAAACAAAAATGCAACCCAAGATTTAAATCTAAAAATATTAGGCCTAATATAAATATATATCATTACAAAACTTAATTGCCATTATACAGTTTAACTTTATCTGCAATTAACATTCATGATCAATTTAAACTTATTTACTTCAGTATAGAGTACAGTAATACAGTGTTGCGTCACGATACCATGTGATACTACTCCGTTGCTATCGTTGCAAAATGCATTCAACCTGACGCCATTTTCTCCACTGACAAACCAATGATCCCAATTTCTAACATACTTTAATATTAAGATGTTGTATCTTACTTTTTCTTTGTAAATTTTAATTGATAATTTAAATGTGTGTTCGATAACAAATATAATGCGAGCTTTTGTGTTTTTAGTACATTTTGATGGTAAAATATTAGATTTTAAAATGCCTATTATAGAAAGCCTATGAAGTCATTCAGGCTTAGTGAACGGTAACCTACGTCTGTTGACAACAGAGAGCGCCACCTGGCGTAGTAACAACACAACTGTGGTACTCTATAAAACATATTTAAAATATATACAATTTATATAAATTTGCATGAGTATTTATTAAAATTACTTGCCCAAACTACTGTACAGTTTTAAATAACATATAACAAATCCTGGCAAAAATTGTTACCCAAATTTTACTCTCTTCTTACTCCTCACCACCTTGTAAAATCAATTACAGGGTCTCCTCTAACTAAAGACCCCTACAAATAAAGACATCTCCAAATAAAGACCACTTTTCTTTGGTCCCATATTAAGAAATGTTTTTTTTTTCTTTATTATTCTAATTAAAGACCAAATCTGTTAAGACCATAGAAACCCCATGTGGTCTTTTGGAGGGAGACCTGTATTCTGCAAAATAGGTGCTTTTTATACTGAATTAACACTCTGACCGCCAGGGGTTTGAAAAAATAATATTTGCCAACTCAAGACTTTTTAGCAAATTTCAACACTTTTCCAAAGCTCGTTGAGGGTGCGTATGTGATCAGATTGACATGTAGTCAATACCACAAGAACTACAAACATTCTAGCTTCACAATGGTACCAAACACTTTATTCTAATCACAATCTGTGACCCATAACAATAAAATGAAAATTACTCACTTTTGGAGATTTATGCAATTTCGCAAACGGAGCTCAGATAATCGCGATTTCGTGAAAGTAAATCAATACCGCTCTACGCTATTGTAAACAAACAAACAGTGAAATACTTATGGTCCAGACTGAATATAGTGTTCAAATTGTTAGTACTTGTCGGTAATTACTCCATCTATCAGATTCCGTAAAAAAAAAACCTGAAACATGGAGATCTCTGTGTCTGGCGGTCAAGCGTTGTGTTAACAAACATGGAGATCTCCGTGTTTGGTGGGCAGAGTGTTAAGATTTAAAACCATTAAAAGAGTACAAATAAAAAACAAAACCACACTCACTTCTTCAATGCCTGGTATACTGTTCGTTTGTAGTTTTTTCAGTGTTGCTTGTAGTTTTTTATCATCTGTTGTGGCTGTTTTGTGTACTACCTTTCGTTTTCTTCTGGCGCTTCCCTTTCCGCCTATCCTTACTTGCCCAGCACTCATTTTCAACTTGTTTACTTTTTCTTGGTTCATGGTGGGAAATTTATCTATAGAATTATAAAATTTTCAAAATCAAAATTCCCTCATAAAAAAAAAACTGACCTCATAACTGACCTCATAAAATGGCAAATTGGATTTAGAAATATTTGTAATAAAAATTAATATTAAACTTGTTTGATTTATGACAATAATGTATTCTCGATTCTTCAATACAAAAGAGATGATTGTATAGGTAAGGAACAGGAACAAAACAATCGCATCATCTTTTTAATTTTAACATGGTAAATACCTGTAGATGGAATTATGTGAATGATTTTTATACTACTGTTGAGCAGAAAATAGATAATAAATTTATCCCAATAAATACACCTTATGTTAATTTTACAGTGTTAATTACTGTATGCTGCATGTGAAAAAAACCAATAAAAATCTCTTACCTTTTTTATTATATATAAAGTAACTATAATCTTGTTTTGATGATTACAAATCTACAAAAGAATGTCAATTATGATTTACTTATTATTATATTTAAACATGAAAAAATGACAGTGCAATAAAACAATTGTGAGTATATGTCGGTTAAGAAATCTATAATAAATACAAGCCCGTAGCCAGGATTTTGATAGGGGGGGTTCTTTTTGATACTGAAAGGGCACTTGCGAGCGAACTGCCAAGGGCCCCCCAGCGGGGGGGGGGCGAAGCCCCAGTGGGGGCCGGGTCAAGGAGGGCAAAGCCCCTAGAAGCTCCAGCATTCTAGACATTTACAGGTGTTATTTAATTTATTTGTAAGGCCATACATTTAAAAAAAATGTATAGGGCCTATATCAAAGAGGTAATTTTTTGAGTACTGTACTCACTCAAGACAATCAGTAACATAAAAAGAACCGAGACAAATTTGTATGGTTGGTTGTAGTGTATTAATATACAGGTAAAACTATCCCCCGCCGGACACCATCCCGGTATTTCTGAGTCAAGGCTTCAGGGCCTGAATGGTCATACTGCACAATAAAATATTGCATCCATAGTAATATAATATAATATAATGATTTAATAGTATGGTATGGTTGGTTGTAGTGTAGTATTATTATATATATATATACAGGTGAAACTATTCCCCGCTGGACACCATCCCGCTGGGCTAGCCAGCCTTTGTTGAAAGGGCACTTCGTGAAAAGGAGGGTTCGTTCGAACCAAACGAACCCCACTGGCTACGGGCTTGAAATACTGTGGCTTTATTAGGCAGAGCTGTGTTGAAGCCGCTTTGTTGTGGCGTGCCCTCAGTTGATATTTCTTGATTCGGCACAAAGATCTTATAATTACTAGATAGTGTTCCTCGTAATTTCTGTGTGCAAATTCTGTTATAGGGAGCTTTCATGCATGAGTGATTCCGTTCTAGCGTTGTGTCGTCGCACAAATCAAGAGGTCCCTAATAACAACACAGTGTATGGCAGCTCCTTGCAAAAGTGATTACTTTTCAACTTTCACATCAGATATCCTTAACTAAAGATAGTGCATCCGAGTACAAATTCTATAACATTAACAGCCATGGTGATGCCCTCTCTCAAAGGTGATTAGATTTTGTTTCTTTTTACTGAACATTGACGCTTCTATTTGTTACGCATAGGGCCTAGAATCGCGAAGAATGCTATCTTTGATTTGCCATAACCCTAGGACCAGCCTAGCCTTGGCAAGGAGGCCTGGCCCAGACGAATACAGATCATTTTGGTCGCGCCCTATTGTTATGCATTTCGGTCGCGGTTCACAACCGCGGTATGGAACGCCGATGTACAAGCTAGCTTATTTACAATGTTTTTCGAAAGTAAATTCGATAGTGTTCTAAATAAATTTTACTTTGTATTCGTTTCAGTTTTAGATTATTAGGCTCTTGATAGACAAAATTTTGACTGCCATACATTAAAATACATGTTTTTACTTAACAATTCATAATTTTAAACTAGGTATAAAATAGTCCATCTTAAACATAAATAAACCACATTTTAACATATTTTGTACATACGTTCTTATTTTAACAATATATAATTTGAAAACCGGAAGGTCCAGATTAATCTCAGATAAGAAAGTTTAGTAAACTCCAAGTATTTATAATTTAGATGGTATATTTGCAATACTTTTTTCCCTTTATTTTCCTCTAGTCTTCAGACATCGCCTGCCATAAATATTACGTTATAATACTGTTAACGCTTTCCCATTCACATAGATCATAAAAGGCTGTTTTTGTAAAAAGAAAATACTGTAATACCAACTGATGCTAAAATAAACTGTATTACAATTAGTCAAAAAGTAGTAAAATAAAAATTTAAAAAAATAAAAAAAATAAATAAATAAAAATGACTTGTTTTCGTGCTTTAACAAACGGCAGGCCTAGGCCTTTTTACTGCTTAGGATATCTTATCATACATTCGCTGTCGCGCCTTCGGCGCTCCATACACCGCGACCGAAATGCACAACCAAAATAGGGCGACCGAAATGATCGGATACCGCCAAAGCCTGCTCAGCTGCTGCATATGCATGCACGCATGTCTTCTTCTTGTTTTTACCAACAGAACATCATGACATAAAATAAATAAATAAGTTCTGATACAAAAAAAAATCGAGCTTGTCGTTAAAATACATCAAAATCGGCAATGTTTTCTAAATATAGTTTCTTTCTCGACGTTTCTAACACACCACTTCAAACTCCTTGCTTGCTGGTTGGAACCGTCAACTTACCGGAGGTATGCCCTAGAAAGGGTGCGGATACGGAGAAGGCCCAAACTTAAATTAAAGAGAAAGACTAAATACAGATTTTCGAAACCTTTTATCATCTAATTAATTATCGCAAACTTGGCAAAACATAAACTATATTATAACGATTTATTAGGCAGCCATTTATATATTAATAAGTATCATATGCTACGAAATCTGAATATATACTATACAATTTCTAAAACTCACGTGCAATAATAACTTCTTTCTCTCGTTCAACAAAATGGCGAATATGAACTGGAAATGACGTCATAGTGTCACTTTCAGAGTATTAAATTTTTAATTGTTATCTTATGAATACTAATAGAGGCATCTGAAATCCAGTATTCATAAAAATTCTAAAGAAAAAAAAATATTATTTTAAGTAAAACTGTAATATTTTAAAACAAATAACACATATTTATTCCTAAAAACTAAAATAATGTATATAATCTAAATAGTTGCACCTGTATTGGTAACCTCTGGACGGTAACCTTTCACTTTTGCTGTTGAATTAATATTTCACTCTCCCTACTTTTATAAATACATGCTATTTTATTAAATAATATTTTTTAAATTAAGCAAAATCTATATAAATATATAACAGAGCTGTGTATATTACATGTATGGTCCCTTGTGATAAGGAATATGATTCATCTTTAGAGTTATTATCTCACGATTAGTGGTATGCATAATAAAAAGAACGGCAGGCATGTTTAAGAACGAAACGCGCGAAATATTCTTCATTTCATACTGTAATCAGTGTCAGTCTCGGTTATAGTTTGGTTGTTTTATTCTTTTTTTGTGTCTTTGGCAATTTGTTATAAACGCTATAAAACATCTATAAGATTCTTTCTGATATTGTTTCGATAAATATTCATTTATTTTTATACCTTAATAATGGGAGAAAATAATGACAAAACTGAGTGTAGCAAACCAATCGCGGAGGAGGAACCAGCCACAAACGAGCCTGTGGGCGCTGCAAGCACCTCCGCAGAAGAACAGACCGGAGACGAAGGGTTGGTACATATCTCCTAAGCTATGGTAGGCCTAGTAGTTAGGGCTTGGTGCCAGTGGTATTAGTACAGTAGCAATTAAGATTTCGCAAGTGAATGTACTGTACTAGCTAGGTTAGACCTTTGCCTACAACTAGGCCTAAATACAGCAGTTTTGCACATCGTCCTCGCTCAAAACAAACAAACATACAATTACAATAGGCCTAGTAATTATTTTTACATCATTACTTATAGGTCAGGAAGGTTGGACAGGTGTGGACATGAACTCGTGTACTTGTTGCTCTGAGTGATCCCTGTCGGATGTGAACTCGTATCCGCGCCAGTGAGCGTGTTAAATAGTCTGATAAAAAAAAATCGTGCAAACTTTAATGTAGTTTTCTTGATGTATTGGTAATAATACTGTATACAATTCTTTCCAATTCTAGAAGTATTGATATAGATGCTGATGCACAGTTATTAATGGCACAAGGAAAGCGAAATCTTGTTATAGGAGAGGTCGTTCAAGCTGTCCAGGCTTTTCAAGAAGCAAGTGCTTTACTGTAAGTTATTTTTATATAGAAATATACAATTTTCAGGAGAAAGAATATATGAAGAATTAATTTCAGTAAAAGCCATTAATTTTTGTACGTGGCCAATTTTTTAAACTTTTCTACAGTCCAAAAAATGTCAACTGAAAAACACCACAGCTCTGTTTAGAAAGCCATGAAGGAAAATTCCCAAGTTATACCTTGTTTGTATGGTAATCTTACAATATTTTTGTTTTTTATTGATAGTGATAATACAGTTGTGATAATTGATACACTGAGACACATGGTTTTAATATTATTTTAACATCGTAAAGTGAATGAAAACACTAAACACATGGTTCTATTTGTAGGCCTAGGTAACATTTTTGTAGGTATTAAGTCAACGATTATTACAAATTTCACCCAACCTTGATTTTACGAATCCCCAGATTTATGTACGCCCTCTGGTACTGTAAGCCTTGACCACTACTGCAATGGATATGTGCGCTTTATTGGGAAAAAATAAAAAAAATTATGATTTATGAAAAACAAGTCCTAAGGCCAAAATTCAAATATCTTTGTTACTGTATTTGCAGGGCTGCAAAGTATGGTGAAAGTGCGAAAGAATGTGGTGAAGCGTATTTTAAGTATGGCTGTGCTCTTTTGGAGCTGGCGCGCATGGAGACCGGTGTACTTGGAAATGCTTTAGACGGGGTTCCCGATGAGGCATCTGATTCAGAGGATGAAGGCACAACTGAAAAGGTTGCTGGGTCGAATGTGATAGAAAGTGCCAAATCAATTAAAGGCAAGTCCTGAGTAAATCTGTCTTTGTATTAATGTGCTATCTAGCAGCATGGTTGAACTGGTGGTAACCGCTGTGCGTGTGCTTAAGCATGGCGATCTTCACTCTAAAACCTTGACCCCAGTTCAACTGTATTGTCATTCATTTAAAGGGCTGTTATGCAAGTTTCATCTTTCGGATGGGAAGCTGTAATACTGTATGGTTGCATGTTAAGAACAAAATAAACTGCCCAATTCACTAGATCATTCCCATTAGACATAAGTCAGGACGTCTATGGGTCATCCTTCACACCAAAGAATTGTCACTAATAATTACTGGGAAGGTGCTTATCTCCTGTTGCAAACCATTCGTAATAGTAAACATTTTACATTAGTATTTGTAATGTATTAATTTTTGCCAAACATTCAAATAAAATGTGCTTATAGAAGCTTATCAATTCCCCCAGGGTCTGAAAGAGAAAAAATATTTAAAGATGTATACAGTGCCTTAGATGCAAACAGCAAGGAGAGAAAGAAAGAAAAGGCCAAGAAAGAAAATGATTGTGAAGAGAGTGAAGATGTTGAGATGGAAAGCACAGAGAATGGTAAGGAGGGTGATGTTAAGGTTAACAAGGAACAGAAAGAGGGGAGTAAGGTTGTGGCAACAAAGAAGCAGGAAAAAGAAATGGTAGAGAAAATGGAAATGGACAAGGATTCAATCAAAGAAGATATGGAGACTGAAGACTCTATTTCAAAAGACACAAAGGCAAAAAAGGAGGGAAAGAAAAAAGGCAATAAAAGTCATAAGTTTCTGCACCAATCAGCACAAGAGAATTCCATTATTAACATCAATATTCCATTCTATCTTTAACGGCTCACAGAATAATTGTCTGGTCTCTTTGTAAATAATCATTAACATTTGTTTTGTTGTTCATTGAAAAAGAAATGTAGGTTACAATGTTCATATGTTTCTAATTGTACAGTATGTAATATTCAAATTAGCATTGTAACTACAGTATTTTAATTATATTATAGAAATTTTCTAGCTCAGATGGTATACCTCTTTAAACCTAATACTAATGCGCTCAATCCCAAAACGCACATGCTGTCCTCTAAACTTGTGTTTTTAAATGCATTTACGCTGTCGTTTTGAGGGACGTTGTCAACAGTATCCAAAGGGCAGGGCTTGGTGCAACCTTTACCCATCATTTTTTTTTTTTTTATTCAATAAAACTCATGCTTTTACTGTTTGTATTAACACTTGCCAAAGTGTTTTAGTGTTTAAGTCGGATGTAATCACCACTATAATTTTTTTTTTTAATGTTCGTGTACAACGTCGGTGTATGTGTTGTTTCAACAATAACATTATTTGATGTCCAAGATTTTGTTGTATGTTCCTTATTATCATCCTTGCCCTTATTTAAAAGTATATATTGCATTATATTGTTGCATTGTAAGTACTGTATTGCAAAGATTGTCTATAAGTTTTGATGAGACCCAGCTTATGGGAGTGAATGACTTGGCATACTGCCTGCCTCTTGATAACTCCTGTTGCCCAAAATAAGTGAAAAAAAAAAAAACTGCGTTATTTGGTATTTATTCTCAAATAGATATTTTTCTATATTATTTTGTTTTAATCATTTAATATTTATGGAATATAATTGGTTTGGTTTTTTGTTAATTAGATGATGAAGGTGCAGGTTGTAGTAAAGATGACGATCAAGCTGGAACCACAGATGGAGAAGCAAAAACAGATGAAGAGGTATGTATTTTTTACTAATCTTTGTTTGTGTTGGTATTCTTTTAAATGATTTCATACTCGGTGGTGGCGCCCGCAGGTTACCAAACCTTGTCCAGCCGTTGCGAAGTGTAAAGGGGAAAATGAAACACAGTGAGGTAGGTGTGGGAAAATCTGGCAGCACCCCTGATGGCCTTCTACTGTTAGCATTAATGCGGGGTGTCCAACAATGACACTCATTCTTAATCTCTTCAGCATAAATTTACATTTTTAATTCTAAGAAACTAATGTTTTTTTGGGTTTTTTTGTAGGGTGAGAACGCTGATGACATTCCCAACTTCCAACTGGCATGGGAAATGCTTGAACTTTCAAGGGTGATATTCTTAAAGTAAATATTTCCTTTTTGTAATGACTTATTTTATGCGTGCACTTGTTCAAAAATGTACCAAATGGCAGAAATTAGTGAGATGCACGATGTCTAACAACGATTAGTGTTCAAGAAGAGATTTTATGCTTATTATATATGTTTGGGTTAGGACTTCGCAAATAAATACAGTAACAGGTTTATAAGCAAATATTTACAAATTGTAAAATTTGATTTGTTTACATCAGGATTTGAACCTAACCCTCAAGTTTGGTTGCCCTACCATTTTACGTTATTGAATGGCCAAGTTTAAAAAGTTTAATCAAAACCTCCTTAATTTTATATGTAAACCAAAAATACATGGAACATCAAAAATTTCAATACAAGGGCTAATGTACAATTAGATTGCTGTAGTGTTTTTTACACAACCGAATATGATAAAGTACTGGATAAAATCTTAATCTGCCATTAAAGATAGGATAAAGACAGAAAATTATATTGCATGAAAGGAAGAAATAACGAGTATTTAAAAGTTTCATTAAATGTTTATAAAAATGAAGAGATAATGATGAATGATTTACAGAAACATGACTGAGTTTCAGCGATGTAGTTATAGTCTAAAGTCAATTTCATGACCCTCCACCCACCTTATTAACCTACTTTTCCATCCTTAAAATCCACTCGTATTTAGAATTCACCATTGTTATCACCCACCCACCCTTAAAATGTCTTATCCACCCTTAGTTTTCTACAGCTACAGCCCTGAAGTTTATGCGATAATTCTTGGTGAACTAAAAATATAAATCATGGTTGCCTTTAATTGCAATTTCACAAGATGTTTTAGTTTTACATTGTTACATCTGTTCATTCATCAGGATAGATAAGGAAGCTCAACTGAAAGTTGCTCAGGTACATCTGACGCTTGGAGAGCTTGGCATGGAAACTGAGAATTACGCCCAGAGCATCGATGACTTCTTGAAATGCCTAGCAATTCGGGTCAAACACTTGGAAGCCGACAGCCGCCTTTTAGCGGAAACACATTACAACTTAGGACTTGTTTACGGCCTTGATAAACAGTTTGACAAATCCATTGAGGTACACCCTTTTTCAAAATTTTTTAAATTATGAATGTTGCATCTGGTTTAATATTTACCCACTGATGCAAGGTGGATAGCAGTTTAAAATTAGAATTTTATCCTGAATTTAAATTATAATGACAAGTAATAAATAAGACACTTTTGCTAAATGCTATGTATCTATGATGAACTGCACAGGGGTCTGATGTTAGGGTCTGCATGAAGGCTCTAGCCCTTAGTGACTGCTCTAGTATTGCATGTGGTGATTCTAGAGGAAAGCTGAGGGAGACGCTTAAGCTTGTCTGAGCTACAGAAATTATGTTATATGATTGGGTATTTGGTATGATGGTAGTATTTTGTACTCGGTACACTGTATTAAATTTTCTTTTCAGAGCTACGAAAAATCAAAGGCTGTAATCGAGCAGCGAATCGTCAACTTGCGCAAAGAAGAAAAAGAAACTGCTCAAGGAAACGGTCAGTATCAACATCTTTTTTATTGTTACCACCCGTGTACAACAGGAAAATCATGGGCATTAAGCTTCACACATAGTCCCGGGGCGGATCCGAGTTAAAATTTGGGGAAGGGTCAACATTTTTCCAAAAAAGCCCCTAAAAGAAATTTAGATTCCTAGATGGCGGGAAAAGAGCCCCCCCCCCCCTTGAAACAGTTAGGTAAACTTTCTCATTCCTATTACAGTACATATGCTTCTTTTGTGTGTATACATACATTATAAAATTGTAGTGCATAAATGATGAATGGATAAACCCCATTTTGATACAAATTGATGGTCGTACAATCGTTGGCAGATATATCCAAATCCGCTTCTGTAAACTTTTGATGCAATGTTGTCTAGTGATTATTGGTGGCACTAACTGCGTCGTACGACCATCGGCCGACGAGTCCAACTCAGCTTCCCGTAGGCAATAGAGGACGCGGCGCCGTCTGCCGATTGTCGGTGGCAGTCTGAATAGATCGTCATTAAAACGATCTTTTTTTGCGCTTGTCGTGACGTTGTGTTCTCCATGTAGCAGATCATTTTGAGTTCTTATAGAATCATGACCGTTGGTGCAGTATCTCCCTGGTTTTACGCTCTCTGGGAAAATTTTCGTAGTCATGAAACGGTGAAATTCAGCACCGACTACAACATCTTAACAAACTGGTACCATCGTATGTGGTTTGTGTATTAAACTTTGATTTTATAATATTTTTCTTGCTGTAGAAAAAGAGAACACAGACAGTCCCTTGCCTTCAACCAGAAAAGAAATATCAGAACTTGAAGAGCTTGTTCCAGACATAATTGCAAAGGTATGCCTGCATTTTATGGTGTATTAGATTCAGATTCTCATTTGTCATATTCAATGCAATACCAACCACAGGCTCCCAAGTGACCATCGCAGATTTAACTAGTTACAGTAATCATAAGAGAGTTTAATGATAACAGGGGTTCAAAGGTTATGGCTGCCTTAAATGGATCTACTACATTTGGATCTTCAGACTATGGCATATTCAACGTAGCTTAATGTAACAGTATGTCATCATTCTGTCATGTTTTTATCAGATGAATAATAATTGCAATATTTTTATGTGCAGATTGATGATGCTAAAGAGCTAATGAAAAATGCTGATGACCAAGCAAAGAAGGCTATAGCTGCTGAATTCGTAAGTTATTTCACATGTAAATCCATAAACAGATATATTGTGCACAGAAATTGGTAGTAATAGGTAGAGGATAAAAATGTGTCCATAGCTTTTAAATTGTTTTCAGTTTCATTGAATTTAAAGCAGTTGTGCAGGTGTACAGTAAAAAAAGTAAAAAGATAAAAGTAATATATGGGCATTTTTAATTTCTTGCTCAATAATTAATTTTAAAATAATTCTTTTAATTGTCTTTATTCTATATGATGGTTATAACCTGACGCTGGCCAGGTTTTGAACAGGGGATTCAGCATAAAAGCAGAGAAATTGCCTCTCAGCAAACCACCCAGCTCATAGAATAGAACAGTATGTAATCCATGTCCGCATATTATTTTAATTTTAAAATATTTTGAATTTGTAGGGAGTTGGTCCAGGAGCATCTTCATCAGGTTTTGCACAGTCATCAACTTCATCTGCTCCAGCCCAACAGGTGTGTGCCTTATATAAACGCTAGATGTGTTTTTTGCTGCAAGCTCAGTACGTGCGTATTTAATATGCGATAAACACGATCTCTTTTTCGCTAAGCGCCGCTCTCCAATAATACCAACCACAGGCGCTTATTCCAGCATTTATGGTAATAGATTAAGATACACTGACTTAGCTGTCCACTTGTGTGCTGTTCACACAAGAACACATGTTCACACTATAAAATTTTCCGAGTCCAATATCCCATTTGCCTTTATATGGCCAAATCAGTAGCAAAATGCTTTCTGTTAAGCATACTTTTTATATGGTGTTTCTATGTTTGTTTTTCAGATTGCAGTTAAACATGCACAGAAAACAGAGGACTCGGCTACGGATATCACACATTTAGTTCGAAAAAAGGTTAGCATGAGGCTCTGAATTTATGGTTTATGCTATAGCTGTAAACCCTCGTCCACACTACATAAGCAAACTAATTTATCCACGCTTTGTGTGAGCACTTGCCCAAAACAGCAGAAGTCTGCTGACCACTGACTGTTCAAAGTTATTGCTGTGAATCATACATTTGTTTAAGATGACTAGTTGTTTCCTGTTTTTCAGAGAACAGTAGATTCTTTCTTGCTGCAATTCATCTCTCTGGCAACGTTTCCTTAATTGATAATAAATGTCATGCCATTTCCCCTCATTCCCAGTACTTTCTTTGTGTTTATCTAGAGGAAACCTGAAGGGAATGGGGATGCTAATGAAACAAAGAAAAGCAGAAATGATGAGGCAACAAGTAACGAAAATGGTGATGCTACCAACGGACATGGGAATGGTGACGCTACAAACGGACATGCTAATGGGAATGGACAAAAGGCTCAGAAAGAGGTGGGCAAAATTGAATGTTTTATCAACATAGGTTTTGGTAATACATTTATATACAAAGGTATATTTGTATGTTATTCAGGCTCTTATCTTACCCATAAGTGTGAATCTTGTGCCAAAAGCTCTAAAGTCCAATGAGTCTTCCATGTTGTTTATCAATTTGCATTTTTTTTCGTCCAATTTGTATATAGCTAATCTAATTCCTCATTTACAGATTTGTATATTTTCATAATAGTGTATTTATTAGCCTAATTTTACTGCACATTCACATTATAATGCACCCTGTGCTGCTATTGTATATGTGAATGAAAAAAAAAAAACACGTTATATTTTCATTGCGGATTTTTTGGGCTCAGTACGGACTCCAAAAGTATGCATTTTCTTTTAGTTTTAAGGCATATGCGGATTTTATAAGTCCGCAATGACGATATAACGTGTTAAAAACAATAAAATAAATAAATAGTATGGATCAAGAATAATCCTTTCTTTCTAATACATTCAGATAAAACAGAAAACAGTTGAAGATGTTCAAGCTGCTAAGGAGTGCAGTATGGAGACGGCCTAGCAGTACTACTATACTCTCAATTCTACTTGTTTAATATCAATGTCAAATCTATGTACAGTATATATCATGAATAGATAGCTGTGTTGCTATGTGCTGCATTTTAGTCTAGCAAATGAATCCAATTCCCATGTATTTAAATTTACTCAAATTTTCACCAGCTATCCTCCTGTTTTTTTATGTTACAAATTTGTGGTTGTATTGTTGAAGAGAGAAATAAGTGTCTGTAAATATAGTTGCCAAGCTGACGTATGTTTGAATTGGACCAAGAAACTGTTAGAATTATTTGGTTTTTCTTAACTTAGAATCCAGGGAGTCAAAAAAATAGTGAGTGGATTCCAATATTTTTGTTTAATATTTTGTAGAAATAAAACCAGCAAACAGGAAAATGATCTGATTTGAATTTTTTTTTTTTAAATGTCAATAACTGCATATCATAACAGTACCAGGGGAAGATTTAGGGGGACATTTTCTCTAGTCAGCCCATTATTTCGTACCCTTGTCGACGATCCCCGTCGGAAAATTTCTTAGAGGAAGTGAGAACTTATTGTAATCCAGGATTGAATATACAGGTATTAACCATTTGGCTCTTTTGATGCGCACGTTTATAGTGTTTCAGCGTGGTGCATTTAATAAATAATCATAATTTAAAATGTCACTAAATTTGAAAGATTTTTTTTATTATAAAAAGCTTATTTATCAAAGCAAAATATGGGTCAGTCGGCCGCCGGACCACTTCCACCGCCCATCATAAAACCATCATTGACAGTGGCATATCAACGCCTATTATTTTGTTCTTGCTAGCTAGAGCCAGAGATATTAATTTGCAGTTTCTTTTACCAGGACCATGGGCCTATTTTTACCGGGCAGGCAGGGTGTATAAGAATATTCCGAAATTACAAAGTATCTAGAATGTAAATGAATATCAATTGCCTTCTGTTGTGCCACATGTATTTAATTAAACCATGATGATTACGATGTCATCCCTGACCTTTCTGATTGAAACATTTGAAGAATCTTGAACAGTGTGCAGTAGATCCAATGTAAAGCTCTGATTGTGTGGGACATTCAGCCACGTCTTAAAAGGTTATGGCATTATAATACTGACGCGATCTGCACGTTAATGATATTTAAGTTTTTTATGTTTGAAGGGATTGCATTACACAAAGTGTAGGTGCGGCAAAAGATTTATGGCCAATAAATAAATTAAAAGCCGCAAAATATTCTCTATAATTTAAAACTAAAGTACATTATATGTATAAAATCCAAAAGTTGAATGAAAAAAATTAAGAGGTAGCACAGTATACATAAAATGCTGAATTTATTTGTGTACACGAGTACGTTGCGGTGTGGGGGTTGGGGCGTTAATGGTGAAGGAACCGGTGTTGGGAATAGGGGTAGTCAAGCTTGAAGTGTTCTTACATTTTAGGTTTGTTTGTTTGGACTTTATGGTTCGGTAACTAGCCTATCATCATATTTTTTAATCTCATCATTATCGTCGTCGTCGTCGTCGTTGTTATAATCATCATTATCACATTGCAGCTATTATTTTTACAATGGTAAAATGTATTTCCCAAATACAGTCGCGATGATTAATAAATTATATGAAATAAATATGGGATGCTACCACACAAGAAAAGTAGGGTTATTATGAAACAATATAACATAGATACAATCGTGTACAAAACACTTCAAAAGTTTTTATTTACAATGCTGAGTACAATGATATTGTACTTGCTCTTCCAAAAGACTTCTAAAAAGATAACTTGCGCCATTCTGACCAAAGTATTGCAGAAATCGTAGAATCAATAGTTGAACGTAATAAAATACAAAGCAGGTAATTCTTGAAATAAAGCAATTACTGTACTAACTAGGCATTATCTGTCGAAGATTCCAAGCTAGTAATTAGATATTCGTTATACTAGCATCTGATTGGTTACTATCTGTCCTGCATGAAGTCAAGCGCGAATGCAATGGAAGAACTAGTGATACCTTTCAATAATTTTACATCATTAGATAACTTCGTTGGTTCTCTTTACAATCTTCAAACTGACAAGAGATAAATTTGGATTTAGCAATACGTAGTTTTCTTATTTAAGAGTTCTTGTGTAGTAACAATATATTTATCAAAAATACACATAGTTTACGCCAACGACGTTCCAGTTTACGTAAATACCGTTTACAGACTTTAAGGGTATTAGTGTACCAACCTTCGTGCATTTTCCCCTAATGCATGTTTCTTTAGTGGGAGCAAACACATCAAGGAGACGTACAATCATAAAAGAATTAAGTTGACAAATTGATAATCACAATGCACAACACGTTCAATTACATCTTAAATTACTTTAACCTGTTCAGAAAAAAGTTGCTAATCTTTTTAAATCTTTACCCAGTTTTTCTTCTTTTAAACTTAATATCAAACGATATCTGGTCTCGATGTATGGTAATTAAGCCTTCTAACTTATGTATTAAAATAGAAACCAGACTACCTGTTTATTTAGTTTCTGTATGTTTTATTTTTATTTTTTATTTTAATGGTGGCCACATCTTAAAGTTTTTTTTAAAACTTATTGTGGTCTCCATCCACATAGATTTTTTTGAATATGTTTGATCATGTATATGTTTGTTTTTGTTCATTATGTGGAAAATAAATCAATCAATCAATCAATCAATCAAACGGTATTAGTGTACCAACCTTCGTGCATTTTCCCCTAATGCATGTTTCTTTAGTGGGAGCAAACACATCAAGGAGACGTACAATCATAAAAGAATTAAGTTGACAAATTGATAATCACAATGCACCACACGTTCAATTACATCTTAAATTACTTTAACCTGTTCAGAAAAAAGTTGCTAATCAATGGACCTAATGGCGCCAGATGCACTGTACAGGTGGAACATTCTTTCCTTTGCCAGTTCGGTTTACATGAAGTTTGCAATCAATAACACAGTGAATAAAAAATCAAGATAGTATCAAAAATATATCCGTGTTTCTATCCGAAATAAGATCAAGAGAATTACCAATCTTTATGAGTAGGATTTTTAATATGATAAAATCTAGAGGTGCAATCACTTGACAAAACTTACTGTCCAGAGGGTTATTGAAATGAACGTTAAAATCACCAAGATAGATTTAAGGTTGACTTTCGTATAAGTGTCTGTCAAGTGACGCTGGGAATTCATCAATAAAACTGTTCACGTCGGATGATGGCGGTCTGTATACTGCAGCGATCCTTAAATCCATCTTTTGGAGAAGACTCAAAAGCACTCAAAACTCTTGGGTACGATTTTTCACGAAGTCGAAACCAAGATGAGATTTAAACAACATACCGACTCCACCTCCACGTTTTCCTGACCTGGTATTGTGTGTGAACAAAATATCCATTCGGAGTTAAGGCAGTTAATAGTTCAATATAAAATAATCCTTAAAATAGACGACATCATCAGCAACAGATGCTATATTTATTAGCCAATGGCAAACGATGAGAGCACATGACAGACTTTATTTCAGCAGGTAGACGATTGTTGTTTGACTTTTCACAAAGACTGTTAAGAGATTTGAGGTAAGAACGTATTTTTCTTTTGTTTATAGAAACAAAATTTGTTATGAAACGCAAACAACACTACTCATAAATTATTTGAGAAAAAAAAAGTCCCACTTAATTATTAACTTTTTTGATAGACATCCAGTTGTTGAATAATGACCTACCAAGCTTTTAGTTAGTCTTAATTTAATTACAGCACCTTCGACGTAAGCCTACTAGTCATGTCATAATTGAGAAGAATCTTTGATTTTAATAATACTTATATGTATATATTTCTTCCAAATTCTAAGATCAAATTCCAAATAAAGCTGCGAGTTTTGATAATTAGACCTGTGCCGCAAGCAAATTTTGCGATGTAGGCCTATCTAAACTTCAATTTCGCTCTATGAAGTTAGCGCATATGCAATGATCGGAAACTGATCTTTATGTCGTCCTTAAAAAACGCATGTAAAAATGTGTTATTTAAGAACTCAAGAATGAGTTTACTATCAAATGTAGTGCTTAAATTGATCTAAAGAGAATACTATTTAATGGGATTCAAAATGCCATCGCCAATTTCGACTCGCTTTATTGAGAACAGAAGTTTGTAACTCTAATGGAGTCATCCGTCATTCTCCCTTAGAAAATATATTAGAAATCTATTTTTAGTAGTCTGTTTATGGACAATGATGTTAAAAATACACTGTAATTGTTTAAGTAGGCTTTCGTGTAGTTTGTAACAATTGCCCGGTTGTACCCTGACTGTCAATTGATGACGTCAACAAACGTTTTTGGATATTATTGGATATTTAAGCTGGTAGCTGGCTGAAAAAAGAGTATGTATGTAAATGAGTAGGTAGTATTCGTAACACATTAATTAGGTAAAAGGTGGTTGTTATCAAGTTCAACATTAAGAACGAGAAAGTATAAGGTATATTTTTAAATATAACAGGAAAGACCTATCATATACAATATGCTATTTAATAACTAGGAATTATGGTGTGGTAGCAAAAAAAATGATTATATTTTGTCCCATGTTACTTAAATACATTTAAAATTAAATTATATGGCTAGATTAACCAGCCGGGTAATGATTTCCAAACAATGACAAAATCCTGGTTTTTTTAAAATTTAGAATAAGTATGAATTCCTCTTTGACATCATCTACACTATTAATTGGCCTCATCAGCCTATTAACTTGCCTACCAGAAAGCTTGTCTACGACTACAACACCTGAACAAAACGTTCCTCAAACTTGTAATATGTGCTGTCACGGGCCACCTGGACAACCTGGGATCCCTGGAGTTCCTGGAACACCTGGAGGATTTGGTCCAGCTGGACCACCTGGTAGTAAAGGTGACAGAGGTGAGTTTATTAAAGGTGAAAGAGGAGATAAAGGTGAAAAGGGAGAACCCGGGAATGAAGGTCTAAAAGGTGATAAAGGAAACGAAGGACCTCCTGGTAAACAAGGTCCACTTGGACAAAGAGGACAACCAGGACCTCAAGGAAACACCGGATCAAAAGGAGAAAAAGGTGAACCGGGATTGCAGGCGCCACAAGTCCGTAAATCTGCGTTTACTGCAGTACGCACCACTCACGTGCCAACTTCAGAATCGACCATTCTATTCACATCAATGGAGATTAATGTCGGAGAAAACTTCGATAAGAATACTGGAAAGTTTACATGTAGAAATTCCGGTTATTATTATTTCATGTTTAGTTTTTTGTCGTACAGTGATTCTTCTGCATGGGTTAAAATGAAGTTAAATGGGCGAGCACTCACATCTGTACATCGTAGTGACCGTGCTGGACATGATCAGTTAAGTTCTGGAGTAACAGTTCAATTGGATGTCGGCGACGAAGTCTGGTTGACGAACGAAGGAAGACAAGTTTATGGTAATTCCAACCACCCCTTGACCTTTACTGGGTTTATGATATACGGAATGAATTAATTATTGATACACTTTGTATTGTTTGATAGTAGATGTGTAAGTCCATTGCTCTGTAGATTTGGTTCGGAGAAATTTTTAGTTTAAATACAGCAAATATATAATTCTTATAAATAATTTAATTGTTTGAAATCGAATTGAGTAAACAAATAATATATTAAGACAGTGATTTAAATAATGATATGAAATGTAATTTGTTTCTGTATGTAGTACGTTACAAATATAATGAATTTAGTAATCGGGAATTACATTTACGTAATGAAAAAATGGTAATATATTAAACAAATATAATTATATAATATTTAGGAATACTGGGGTTTTTTTTTATAAAGCATTCTTGATTGGAAATTCTAAACCTGGATAACGTATATATCGTTTGCAATTCAACATAAGCAGGATGACTTTTTTAAACGGGGCACCAATTTACGGTAGCCATATACAGATGATGTGCGTTCTGCATACTTTGTGTTGTTACAAAATATTGTAACGTTTAGTATTTGTATGCCATTTTGTATTTTTTTTTTCTGTTTGAAAAAAAAATGGCAGTGGCAAACTGGGGCCCCTTTCCTAAATCAGCCCCTGGTTTCCCGGCCTAATATGCATAGCTATTTTGAACTGGGAAGCTACGGTATGTAACTAAAATAACACAAATATTAGAGAATGCTTTGCTACTGGGATTTTAATCTTTGTATAGCCAAATACTCTAACAATCTCTAATAAACATATCATTGAACTTACAGGCAGTAAAAACAGTGACGTGAGAACTTATTTTAAAATAACAATTATTATTATTATTTTAAGAGCAATGAAAGCTAAACAGCAACGTATAAATCAATAAGGAAGACACCAACCCCAAGTCATACAGCGCATCCATAGACAAGCGTCTATATTTCTGGTATAAAGCAAATATTCACCGTCTTCTTGCTGTGGAATTACACCTCAGGGGTGGCGGCAGGATTTGCCCGACGGGGTGGGGGTAGGTCCCAGACGAGGGGTCAGATTTCCCCGACGAAAGCAATGTGGGTGTGCGTGGTGAGCTTCGATTAAAAGGTTTCGAAAGTGGTCCAGGGGGCGAAGCCCCCGAAAATTTTAACAATTTAGAGGTTTCAAAGGCTTATTTAATCGATTTTACAGTCTACTAATATGTAGAAAATGTATATAATCTTTTTTTTCCCCCGGCCCCCCCCCCGCTGCCTGTACACCTTCACATTCTTTTTTCTGCCTGCTCTGCTGTGCAAGTGCATTCCAGTGGCGTCGAGAGCCAGTAAGGGCCCCGGGGCAACACCTCACATGGGCCCCCCCTTCACTTGGGACCCCCACTCGGCCGCTCCCCAAATTAAGTCTCCTCCTAAATTTGACAACAAAAGTTTTCATCCTGGCTTGGGCTCGGGCCCTATGGAGATTTTGTTCTTACCCCGAAAATTTTTCATCTTGGTCCGGGCCCCCCAGTAGACCCGGGCCCCGGGGCAGCGACCCCCTGACCCCCTCTCGACGCCACTGGTGCATTCATGTAAATATGTCTGGGATAAAAGAACTGTTTCTTTCTTGATTATTAGTAGAAATTAAGAAATAATAAATTAAATGGTTTAGAATGGATGCATGCTGTTATTTATTCTTATAAAAAGGATTTCTTTGACATTTAGACATCAATTCCTGTACTTGTTAACTTTCCATTAAAATTAAAAACACCACCACTAACTTATCGTTACTAATATACACAAAACACTGTCATATGATGTACATTGGCTAATTGTTATATTTTAAGCCGTATAACAAAATTTATTAAAGAAAAATTGAGATTAACATCACTCTTTATCTTACAGTGGTCGTTATTTGGAGGGAATAGAGGGAGCATTTTAATTGGAGGAAGCAGATAATGTTAAGATAGAAATTCAAACGGGACTTTAATTGGAAGTGGTCCTTAAAAGAAGGGGTCTTTAATCGGAGGCAGTCCTGTATATTAATATTTAAGAGAGTGCCCTTTCCGGTTATCTGGGGGTGCAAGATCTGGGGATGACCTTAGCCAGGACCATGGTGGGGCTGAGGTGGTATAGCCCCTCCATCTGTGCCCCTCCATCTGTGAAAGTCCCTCTTGGTCCTCCCCTCTATTTAGAATTCTGAATCTGCAACTGAAGAATATAGACTTACAAGGACATTTAAAATAGGCCGTTTTTCCTACAACAACCATGTTAAAACGTCAAAACGAATACACTGTATTTAAAAACAACACAGATTAGTTATGCTGTACAACATTAAACTGTACCTCTTCTCTCAAGGGAAAAATGTAAACGCATTCTTAAAATGCATGTGTAAAAACAGCCATTTAATTAGGACAGCAGTCAACTCACCCACTAGCAAAGTCTCCTCTTACAAATTTCCCCTTAAAACATTTAAAATTCTGCCCTTATGAACTGGTACATTTGATAGGGAGAGAGTTTGTTAAGGCCTAACTTTGTCAGGAGGCGACTTTACAGGGGGAACTTTGCAAGAGGCGATTTTGTGAGGGGTGACACTTCTAAGGGGTGGAGGGGGAGCAACTCGACTGGTTGGCATGCTGCTAATCTGTGCCTAATTACCAGAGATGGTTTTATTGTTCATGTTTTATAATTGAGAGTAGTGTACCCATGAAATATGTTGGATAACTATAGCAAATAACATAAAGAAGTCTCAGAAACACTTTCTGGAAAATGTTATGCTCATCTTTTTCTAAAGACGTAATCTAAGTAAGTCGCATTCATGCATGACTTACAGTCTACAATATATTTGGGTCATAAATGCAGCCAACAAACATCTCTGAAATGTCTGCAATGAATGATAAGTAGTTGGCTGGTAGAGGGCAGTATAAACTTTGATTTAAAAAAAACGTACAAGGTACACAAGGCCCTGGTAAAGAACGACAGCCTTTAGTGGTGATGATTTCCTAATAGTCTCAAACTCTCGAACATTTTGCTTTCTCTCCAGCAAGAATTAGATATATCTACATCAAGTTTTAAATATCCATGGTCAGTTTGAACTGGTAATTTAAGTAATAAAGAACGTATTTATTAGAAGATTTAATGTTCTCACTTTTATGTTTGTGTAGCCAAATATTCTAACAATTTATATGAATACGTCAATAAATATTCAGGCAGTAAAAACAGTGACGTGAGAACCTTCGCTTTATTTCAAAATAAAAAAAATATTTATTATTACTTTAAGAATATAAAAGCTAAACAGCAACTTAACAAGATATAAAACTATATGAAATTCCATTCCTGATGATGGCATAATTAATGCGAAATATTGAATCTCAACACGATTGCGTGTATTTCAATATTTGGAGTATGTATTATACTTTCTAATATGGAAAGACTTCACCAAACTCAATTCATGTAGCACATCCATTAGACCTAAGCGTCTATATTTCTTGTATAATAAAGCGAATATCCACCGTCTTCTTTTTGCTGCGGAATTACACCTTCACAGTTTTTTTTTCTGCCTGCAATGTTGTGCAAGCCCATTCATGTATGGAATGGTCTGCCTAATTCTCTCAGATCTTGTGATTCGCTTAGGCAGTTCAAAGTCCATCTAAAAACACCTTTTTCAATAGTTCTCTCACCTTGCTCGATCATATAATTTTGTTTATTGTTTTGTTTGTTTTCTTATTTTTCTACTGCTTTGTTGCATTAGTTAAGTTAGCTCACTTTGCATGGGTTTGGTTCTATGCACGCTTTACTCTTCGTAACTGAAAATAAAGACACTATACAAGTAACAAGTAACAAGTAGCATATCCAACGGCGGCAGAAGCGGGGGGGGAGGGGGCCATTTCCCCACACACTTTTTCTACAGGGGAGCCTGCCCCCCCCCCCACTTTTGTGACTCTTAACCAACACCAGTGACACACATTTTACGAACGCTGCAATGTCATTATTATTATTATTATTATTATTATTTGGTGCTTACACCTTGTTTATTTGCGCGTTATAAATTGATCTATTATTATTAGTATAAAATACAGATTTTTTTTCGTTTTCTAACGATTATTACAAGTTCCCTTTTTGAGTTGAGCAACCAAATGTTGATAGACGTCTGTATACGTGCGTCTGTAAAGTTTCCTTGAAACCAACCCTCGAGCATGAAGAAAAAAATCGCCTGCATTCCTGAATTCTGTATTTAGGCATATGGGGGGAGGTAGGTACTCTTAATGGAGCGACGTTCTAGTTTTCTTTATGCTAACCACGAAGATGTATAGTAAGTGTAACTGATTGGCTTACAGTAACCTTTAAACTAGCGTTATATAACCACATTTAAACTCCGTCTATTTTAACGAAAACATAAAGATACTTAATTAGGCCATTTTTTGAAAAAATAAAGTTCTCTGACGGTTAACTACAGAATTTACAGTACACTGTAGGTAATGTGTAATAGATTGTAAAAACTGTATTGAGTAGGCCCTACAAAAAAAATCTTTCGAATAAAAAACATTTTCGCTTGACATTAGGAATTAATCATTGTGAAACAAAATGATAGGCTATGTCAAGTGTTATTGAAAGTGGCACAATCAAGGGGGAACCTAGTGAGCACGGGACCCCATCCTCCTATTTCTTCAAAATATTTTTTTTAAATGGAGAAAACAGACAAAATTGTATTCAGCTTTTAATCTGAGAGTGCTATTTCCGGCCATCTAGAGGTGCCATAATCATCATTATTTTCAGTCCCACAACAGATGTGGGGCTGCGTGGTGGACATTCTATTTGCGCAAAACCTTTCCTGGAACCCCTCTACTTCGACTCCCTGGACTCGCCACAGTTGGAGTATCATTTCCGGGCTACATAGAAGGGTAATTTTTATCCATCGGGGGATGGAAGTTTTCGTCGGGAAAACCCATATCAAGGATAATCTTCATGATAAATAAGAGGTCGTGGAAGCAATCCCGACTTCGACTTTGTTCGGAAATCTGTGGCGCGCTCAAGGGGAGGGGGAGGCTAAATTGTTCAATTTTGCTTTAAATGAGATATAAGGAAAATTCAAGGGACATCTAGATGTGTATAAGAGACAGCCCCTAAATTGTTCAATAAAAAGATAATTATATTAAAATTTTATGTCTGGAAGTGCAATTTCCGGCCATCTAGAGGTGCCATAATAACATAATTTCTTACCTCAGTGTCAGCCATGGTGGGGCTGAGCTAGTATAGTTCTTCTGTTTGTGAAAGTACCCTCACTGGGCCCTTCTATTTCCAATTCCTGGATCCGCCACTGGAAATTACAACAAATATGAAATCATATTACAGTAGCTTGATGCCTATAAAATAACTTATAAAATTTACCAAACTTCATAAAATATCCGTATAGCTTCCAGTGGGTTCCCCCTGGACCCCCACCGGCGGCTCTTGGCAGCCCCCTGGCCCCCAGCCTAGATGCTCGCTTCGCTCGCATACCGGACCTTATGAAATGGCACTCCCCTTTCAAAAACGTTCCGCCACCGTTGAACATATCACAACAACAATCAGCATATTCCAATATTTTTCAGAAATACTACCGTTGCTTTAATCTCGGTGGTTAAATTCTCTAAATTTTCTCTCTGTGTTGACTAGATGTTCTAGAAAAATGACTTTTTTTCACCAACAACGGCACAGATTTACCACATTACTACAATCAATGTGTAGTCTTCTATTTGGAAGCGCGCCACTAAATCATCATACATTTCCTCAGTTTCTTCATTCCAGGCTCCATATTTTCCTATAAAAGTTGAAAATAGCAGGTTAATAAAGTGCAGGTTAAATAGTAAAAGAAGTGCTACCTACTCACTTTTTCATTAACAAGTTAATGAGTTTCCCTTATGCCACGTCTTGATGTACAGTCCAAGTTCAAACCACATTCATGTAAAAGACTGCTTATTCTTAATAATATATACTGTTATAATCTAAAATGAAATTTTACCGTTGTAATAAAAAAAAATATATTTATTTGAAATCCAATTGTAATGAAAATGGATTAACTGATAGTGTTAAGACAGTATTTGTATCCATTTTTAAAATGTTACGGAAGAGACTTTTATCACAACTTTTTAATTTTTGTCTAATTAATACTCAGCTCATTATTTTATTAAGATGTTTTTCTATGTGTTAAACTTAGTCGTTTAATTTCCATTTTTATTTTGATGTATTTCCATATAATGTGTTTGATTCTTAAGTAAGTGAATGTTTTGTTATGTATTTTATCTCTCCGTTTTGGAGATTTTTTAGTAAATGCAATTGAAATTGAAAAATTCTGCTTGAAGTATTGTGTCCAAGTCTATAATGACTAAGATTGCACTATAAAACTGAAACTGAAACAATGATTGAGCTCACGTGATGATGTAACTATTCATGAAGGAATAAAAAAATTTCAAATTAATATCAATAATAAGTTTGAGAGTGCCATTTCCTGACATCAACAGGTGCAAAAACCAAACATTGTGGAGCTGGAGTGATGGGTGTGGAATATCAAGCCAGCACCTCCCAACTTGACAGCTATGGCTAAATTCAGGGACGGATCCAGTAGGGGGAACGGGGAAACGTACTCCCTCCCGTTTTGCCACAAAATCTTTAAAATTTCAATGCATATCCATGCTATGTGCTACTCACATATCTATTCTGAAATTGTTGTGCCCCCCTCCACCTAACGTTTGAAAAATTCTGGATCTGCCGCTGAAATTATGTATTTTATAAGTAATAGACGACTTTGTTCAGCAGCAGATGCTATAGCTATTAGCCAATGCAACACGTTATAAACGATGAAGACACATGGAAAAATTATCCAGCAAATAAACAAACGATCATTTTTCTTTTCATGAAGACACTTACGAGATTTGAGGTCAGAACAACTTTTCTTTAATCTAATAATGTTATAATGTTATGCTTAAACGCAAACATTACTACTCATCATGTGATCGGATCGGCGCCAACATTTATAGAAAAATGTCCGACCATAATTATCAATCACAACATTTCTGATAAAAAAAAAAACAAGTTGTTGAATAGTGTCCTACTAAGCTTATAGTTCTGTCTCTTATACACATCTAGATGTGTATAAGAGACAGATCCCGACTTCGACTTTGTTCGGAAATCTGTGGCGCGCTCAAGGGGAGGGGGAGGCTAAATTGTTCAATTTTGCTTTAAATGAGATATAAGGAAAATTCAAGGGGACAGATGTGT